CAATTCTTATTGAATCGGCCTTAATTCTGTTCTTGCTAATGATGAACCCATATATCCACAGCTCTTTGTATAAAAGAAAACATTTTTTTTGCAGCGAAAGTCAAACCAGCACTTTTGAATTTCTTTGCTAGTTTAATAAACAGCTCTATATGATGCTCCTTAGACCCACTAGTCTATAACCCAATATTATCCTGATATGCTTCCACAATTTCTTTCTACTTCTCTCCTTCTAACAACGTATCCATCAAATATTGAAAGATCTCGCTAGCATTTTTGAGACTTATGTACATTACGGCATAACAGAGCGTATCTAGGGATATTGAAACTGCTACTTTATCTCAATTCTCTTCTCTAATACGAATTTGCCAATCCTCTTAAATGCGTCTATGCTTGTATACCAATTGTGTCTAGCTGCTTTTTTCAAAATGTCTCTTATTAACGGTAGTGGATAACTGTCTTTAATAATATGCTTATTAAAAGGCCTCATATTTCTGATTACACAAAAACGGTCTGTTCTTCCTTCTTTTTTTTTTACTGAAAAACAATGATAAGTGTATTCTCCAGTCCTTTTTTCCAATAGTCCATTCTTTATCATTTCCCTTAAATGCTCTTCAAACAATTTAGCATGTTTTGGATTATTAATCTGAATAGGATGCATCTGCATTGGAGGTATTACTTTTCTGCCTGTATGAACCTCGTATTGAACCAAATTGGTTCTTCTGATCTCTAATAAGTCGAAAGCAAATATATTCAATATTTCTTCAATCAATCGTTTTTGCAAGTCACATGTCTCTTTTTTTAACAAGCTATAGCTGATATTTATTAAGATACAATTTTCTTTAGTAAGTCTCATTATTAGTTCCGTACTTAGCTCTTTAATCGTTCCATCTTCATTTTCATCTTCTGCTATCCAACATATGAGCTTTCCTTCATGTCTATTATTAATTATACGCTGGCTATCTGTATTGTTAACCTTCCTGACTATTAATTTATCAGTATTTGTTCCTCTACTTATAATGTTCTCTAATTGCTATTCTATCTCTTCTGGTTCTAGTGCCTCAGCCTCTATTCTTTTTACTTCTATTAGGTTCTCAACCTCTTCCTCATCACCTTTGCTATCATTATCTTTTATATTTATCCAGCTAGTTAGTACCACAGAAGCTATAAATGCTGCTTTTTTTTCTTCAGACTCGATATTGTACCAGAGTTTGTTATCCTTCCATTTTAGGCTATACTTGGATGCAGCTAACCATAGCATACCGAGCAATATATTGAAACTTGCAGCCTTCATTATGTAAAATTCCTGGTATACAATTATACCTTCCATATCCACTTCTACATTTGTAATACAGTCTACAAACTTACTTAAACAGGACCCTGGATCCACAGGTGCTAAGACCATTTCCCATTAATTTTGGGCTCACTTATTGGTACATTCCCTATTTTTAATTCATTTTTGTCAAAAACTCCCCTTATAATTTCAATTTTAGTATTCATAAAAAGGACTTCATCTTCTCGCTTTTTTCTCATCAACACTTTAAGCACCTTAACGCGAGCCTTTGGTAACTATTTAAAAAGTTGCCCCAGCGTAATAGTTATTTTCTTTTCTGCTATCAATTTAAAGATATCCATTTCCTAAGTCAATTCTATCATTGGTATGTACATAACTGAGCCTTTATTAGGTGTTTTATTACTATTTGTGTCAATAGGGTTTGGTGACTCTACGCTTTTTCTCTTTTTAATCATATGTGACCTCTTATTAGCACTTTGCTGTCATTTTTTTTCCAAATTTCTAATATTAAATAATGTCTCATCATCCTTGACATATATTATAAGATATTCGTCTTCTTTCATTATCACTTTTTTTGTGACTTCAAAAGTCTTACATCAGCATTTCTTACCCAGGCCACTTTCTTGAATATTAGAATTCAAGCTCGATTGATCTGTATTTTGATTTTGCCCTGATCGATTTAGACATTGTCGTGCTATATGCCCCTCTCGATCACATATATAACAATTAAGGATTCTATTGTTTCCATTCTGATTCACGTTTCTTCTGCTCCATGTTATGTTTGCAGATGGAGGCCCTCACGAGGCTGAATCATGTTTTCTTTCCATAAGGGTTTGTACAGCTTTCAGTAATTTTACAATATTTGTTTCCATGCAATCTAATCTTTCTACATTTAGAGAATGTTGATCTTCCACTCAACAGATTTTATTGCTTTCTGTATTGTGGCTAATTCATTAGCCTTCTCTTTTCCCGCCTTATTTACTTTCTTATTTATACCTTTAGCTAGACTCTTACTAATATACTCTCTGTCTTGATTATACTTTTCCATCTTGACCGCTAGTTTCTTTGTGCCTTCATACGTTTCTGGGCGTGCACTAGCAACTCTTTCCCGATATAGGCTTTGAAGACCTTATATATACTATTCCTTCTTTTCCAAATCCCTCAGTTAATCCTTCACTTCAGTAATATAAGCGTCAAAACAATTAGTATACATTTGGACAGTATTACCTGCTTCATAAACCATATTTTTTAAATGCTCTGGCTTTTCATTAATATCTGACAATGTTGTCCAATTCATTATCATAGCTGCCCTCAGATTGCTCCAAGTTGAGTGAACTTTCATTAATTGTATCATTGATAGTTTCAACTTGTCTGCCATGTGCAACATGATTACTAGGCTCTTTTATTATTTCAGTCCTTCAAAGCTGTGTATGCCTCAAAGTAAAGTAGAAATTCCTCAATATTCTCATGACCGGTATAGATGGGCTTAGTTGGATCAGATACCCTATATTGCTTAATTTGTGCTTCTTTAGGTTGAACTGGAGTATCGTCTAAATTCTTTTACCTTTTACTTTATTGTCAATATCTCTTTTTCAGTTCTGTTTATTTTGCAAAGACAACTTCTTAAATACTTCAGTTTCAATTAGTAATGAAAAGAGGGTTATTGTTATATATATATTTTTTTTTTATTCACGCTGCACAGTACCTATTACCACCCAATACTAGGGTATTTTTGTGTCTTACAGGTGCCTAGTGCAGTACTTATTACTGCCCAGTACTAGGGTATTTTCACGTTTTACAGAATCTTTAAAGTTTATTTTTTTTTTTTAATAATAAGCATGGTCTTACTTAGTTTCAATCTCTTCGTATCCTCCAATAACATGCCACATTCTTTATAGCAAGTGAAACTTTCGTTGTGCCCAGGTTCTTCTGTTATGGCCTAGTGTGACCAATAACAAGAGATCTTCTGTATTACTGAGTTCTTGAATTTTTCTTTAATCTCCTGTTTTCCTGTTCTGCCTTTGACAAGTATATTTATATCTACCTATCATTTTTTACTTATTTTATATATGGCTGAATGAACTCATATATTGTATCGTGTTTTTGCAAACAAGTAACTTTTAATTCTTTTATTCTGTGAGTGAAAGAGAGTCTCTCAATTCTCCTTATTCTTTTAATTTTCCTTTTTATACATATTTTTGACTTATATTAATGCTATCATAAACTATCTTCTGATATCAAACTTACAGTTTAATTATATAATAATTTGGTCATATTTGTATTTAACTCTTATCTTAATTACTAATATTTTATGTGATATAACTGATGCTTAATTTGATTGACATAATTATTCTGATTTGCCCTGGATAATCAAGTGTTTATGGCTCGATCAGTTTCTCATATGCATTTTCTTATTATTTTCTTATTATTTTCTTATTATTGTATTATTCTTTATTATCACTATTATTGTGCATTTGTTATACTTGTTATTGTATTGTCTTATGCATATATTTCACTTCTTTGTTATGTATATATATACCTCATTTATTTATTTTTTTTATTTATTTTTTTTTATTCAAATTCTGCCTTTATTGTTACTCCCCTTATGATATATTTCGGGAGCCATATTTCACCAGAAAACCAATCCTGCCCATGACAATAACGAATAGTCAATCACAATTTTGAATTATAAGGAAAAATTATAATAATACCTTGTATAGTACATAAACTAATTTATTAATAAAAAAAATTATTAAATCTGAGTAATTCAAATCTGTAATAACAAAAATGCATTTTATAATTAATCATTTTTATAATTCAAATCAGGCTCTAGCTAAACTAAGAGAGTTAGAAACAAATGAAAACTTAACTTCAAAATATTCTTGTATTACTAGATAGACAATGTTTTCAAAAGCCGCAAAAACTCTTTTATCAACCCAAAGTAGTATGCAAATTATAGATATTACAGATTCAGATCTTTTAGCTATTAAAGGAAATAATCGTAATAAAATAATTAATATGATTGAAAATACAAGTTTTTGAACAAAACTTGATAAATTTTTTCATATATTAAAACCATATGACTATATAGTTAAAATTTTGGAATCTGATAAAATAACACTTGGGCATATTTCAGTATGTTGGGTATGACTTAGAAAAATTATTGATGAATTATCTGATGATGATGATTTTTCAGACTTTAAAGACCTAATGTTTGATGAAATCGATAATAGATGAGAGAAAATTTACAATCTGATTTTTGTAATTACATGGTTCTTACATCCGTATTATCATGGTGAAGAAATAAGAGAAAAAAGACTTTTGCAATTACAAAAAGATGCATATAGTCTATTTTGTTTATTATATTCAGAAAAAGATAACAATGCATTTGTTAATGAATAGTTAATATATCAAAATCATGAAAAATTTTTAAAAAAGATTCGTTACTTAACTATCCTAATATTACCAAATTACCTTTAAGATATTGGCGAACTCTATTAATCTATATACCAAATTTAGCTAAGTTCACTTGTAAACTTTTTTCTATATTGCCAAACTTAGCAATATCTGAAAGATTATTTTCATTAATAGGTAATATTCATACAGAACAATATAATTGATTAATATTTTCTAAAACAGCCAAAATAGCAAAAATTGTCTGATACTTAAAAAGTAAAATAGATAAAAATAGTTAATATCAACAACTAATATGCTAGATAAAGATGCCGAATTAGATTATTGTAATTATAAAGTAGATAAAATAATAAATAATTTAGAACAATTTTTATCAAATATAATTAATTATATAGAAAATTTAGATCTAGATAATCGAAATAACTTATCAACTACTTCACTTTTAGAATTTTTCAATCCTCGATTAATTCAAAATATAATTAAACTTGATATTTGGCATTTTAGAAATAGAATAGATATAAAAGCTAAGTATCGAAATTATCAACATACCTATTCTTAATATTATATAATAATTAATAGATTAAGTATTATTATTTTTATTTTTTTTTTTATAGAGGTGTGGCGATCTAGTGTTGTGGTTAGATTGTCACCCTCACCAAGTGGCAGGTTAAGAGTTCGAAACCCACTGACGGCGAAAATTCGAATAATTACCTGTGTTATGGCAACTGTTTTCTGACGATCAGTTGGGATAGGATACCTGTAACTACGGTTGCACCAGCATGACTGGCAGGTCTGGGGCATCCATGCAACCCAGGGTTACACGGATGAATGCAAACCGGCAATGGGCGGTGCAAACACTCGATAAGTCCCTAGGTCACGTAAATCCGTAGGACTGGGAGGACA